CAATCTATCATACAGATCTATAGATACGAACTGTAAGTTGGTATAATATGGTAAAAGTAATATAAGAACTACAATTGGTACATGGTAGAAGATGTGTCTTCAGAACTTATTATAGATAATTAACATGCGACTGGGAAAAACAGTGATGCTTACATCGCAAATCTAATCCCCTCAAAATTTCTTGTACAGAATTTGAAGGTTCTGTGGTCTACACATTGAGACGCCGTGGCAAAATATTCTACGCTTTTAGATATATAGTTCAAATGTTAAGTTCCAAATTGCCTCATTGATATTCAGTCTTGCCTGGGGATGTTGCAAGTGACCGGCCAGGTCATCTACAAGCACAATAGTCGGAGAGTAGTTATCCGAGTTAATTGACTTGGTATAATTTATACATGCGCACATGGTTTGTTTACTCATTGGGATCAGAACCGTCCAAACTGTCGGTTGGGACGATTTTGTCCCCAACTAGAACCACACTAGGCCTTATTTACCTTTACTAACTATCGTTACGGTGGAGAATGACGTCGGAGAAGCTCCCTTACGGTCACCTCATGCCGGAGAGAAGCACCCGCCGGGAACGCACGGGCGGCCCGCTCGGATCGCTCGTAGGTGTTCTCGGCGCCGCCGCGGTGTTTGTTTCCGCCGTGGTGCTGGCCGTGATCGTGCAGAACATCGGTCATGAGATGGGCAATCTCCGGGCCAAGGTGGAGAGGGACCACGATGAGACGGCAAAACTGCAAGAAAGGGTGGCCACCCTCACGACAAAGATCGAAAAAAGCGACGCAGAGACAATGAAGCTCCAAGCCCAGGCTCAGAGAGACCACGACGACATGGCTAAACTCCAAGCCCAGGCTCAGATAGACCACGACGAGATGTCTAAACTGCAAGAAAAGGTGGCCTCCCTCACGACAAAGGCCGAAAAAAGCGACGCAGAGATAATCAAGCTCCAAGCCCAGGCTCAGAGAGACCACGACGAGATTGGTAAATTCCAAGCCCAGGCTCAAAAGGACCACGACGACCAGGCTAAGCTGCAAGAAAAGGTAGCCACCCTCACGACAAAGGCCGAGAAAAGCGACGCAGAGATAATCAAGCTCCAAGCCCAGGCTCAGAAAGACCACGACGAGATTGGTAAACTACAAGCCCAGGCTCAGAAAGACCACGACGAGATTGGTAAACTGCAAGCCCAGGCACAGAGAGACCACGACGACGTGGCCAAACTGCAAGCTCGGGCCGATAAAGACCAAGAGGAGGTCCTCTCTCTGAGGGAGAGGATCGCCGTGCTGGAAACACAGGTCCGAGGCGCGACTTTCCCACCAAACTACGCCGAACAACAACAAATGCCTGATGTAAGTAGTCACATATACCGCACTGAGAGATACTGATGTAGGCATACATAATATACAGTTACGACACGACCTTTGTATCTTTTATACTGACAGTATTCCTATCACAGTTCTTGCCATTCCCATAAATTCTAACACCACGTTCAAAGATCCCATTTTTGCCAACGTAGCTTGCGTTTTCGCGTTTTCGTTTTGTTTTCCAATATTTTGTCCACTAAACCTCAGCTAGTACAGCGGTAAACATGACGTACTGACTTGTGGTATTCCTTCCTACTGGACCGGTTCTGTGCAGAGCCCTGAGGGAGGACAGTCTGGGCACGTCGGCGAGACTGACACCGGGGGACAGAACAACAACGCCACGGTGGGAGGACTTGTGCACAGGCGCTCCAAGAGAGATTCGCCCAACTGGGTCCGACTCCCGTCTGGGTCAGGTAGGGCACATATATTTTCAGGCGTACTCTGTTTCATCTCCAAGCAGATCTTTGCTTTTGTGGCTGAGCAAAGACAGAATCAAATTGGCCAGGCTGACCATTTCGCTACCAAATATCTGCTTGGAGATTATAGTCTGTTCTCTCTGACCGACTTAATGTGTTTGGGTTTCTACACACGAACTGGTGTGCATGAACTAGTTGATGTGTAGAGCAATGTCGCTCTTAATTCAAAAAAGTATGCACAATGTATACATTGCTCAAATTCTCGCAATAGCAATTCAAAGTACGCGACTATCCATTATTATATCCCTTAGTATGGCAATAAAATCCACATACACGTTTCAATGTACAGATTTTAAGTTTATACTTACCAAAATATAGAATATGTTGTTTAACCGTGTTTCTTCTAGATCTGCTACAAGATAAGATTGAATTAGGCCCATTCTAACGCAACTCCTTATTGACAGGTTGTTGTCAGAACCAGCCGGGACGGGACGGGCGGGACGGACGGGACGGAATGGCGGGAGCACCCGGGCTGAAGGTGCGCTGAAACGTCCCGGAATCATCACTGATTTCGCAAGCTGAAATTTGTTGCCATTGCGAGCTTAAAACTAGTTTCTTGTTTGAATCAAACTTGACTTTTGTAATGTTCTTAGATAACTGATGTGTTCTGTTTGACTATAAGAAAAAAACAAGACAAACGACTTTCTTGATATCTCTTCTTTATAGAAATACATGTAGTAGTACGTATAGTATGCATCCTTCTCTCTCGAAAGATGAAATGATATATGAGTAATTTTTAAAACATAATGAATGAATTAAATTGTTCTAAATGAAATTAATGAGTTTTTAATTTAACCCTAAACAGTACACCTGGGGTCCGCGCGGACCCCAGCACTATATATTCTGTAATATCTTTTTTGTTTCTAAAGATTTTTTTCTGAAATTTTAGGTAATTGTCACCAACAAAGTTGTCTCTCAATACAGTGCAGAAAAATCCGTTTCTACCATTTATAAAAAAATTATATCTGATTTTCTTTTGGGGTCCGCGCGGACCCCAGCCGGCTTTCAATCATAATGGGCACACTGGCGTTCTCATACATTACCTTATTTCCGTTTTTATATGTTATTATGCACTCATTGTATGTCTACCAAGTTTTCAGAGAATGGTGTTGTAATAGAACTAAATTTTAATAACTTTGGTGTAATTATGACGTCATATGACGTCAGAGCTAATAATATAGTCCGCCATATTGGATTTTGACCAATGACGTCATCAAATTAGCATATTCTATGCATATTAAATGATTTAACTTATATTTAATTATGTAAGATGTTATTCATGTTGGAAAAGAAGTGTCATTTAATATAAAACTCAGAAAAATTTTATGTTAAAATCAAAATTAAAAAAACTGCCTGCTAGAAACCCGTTGCCATGGCAACACAAAAAAACATCAACTTACCAGTATCAAACTAATATGAACTTTTTTTCAGAGACATTTTAGGAAAGGTCTCCAAATTTGATACTTCTAGCGCAAGCCGTTTAGCCGCTATCTGAGATCAAAGTTGGGCCTCAAAAGCCCCTTCAGTCTGAAATGGGTTTAAAAATCGGGTATTTCTTCTTGTCTTCTTTTCTTCACCAATAAATAGAAAAAGTTCAAAATGTATGATTTTTGTATGTAATGTTGACACAGAGGTTCCCACATCAGTTTTCAAAATAATTGAGCTGGTAGCATGTTGATAATTTCTAAAAATTAGCAAAAAACTGTTCTGGGGTCCGCGCGGACCCCAGGTGTACAGATTAATCAGTCCGGGAAGGTGTTCTGTTGAGGGTTAACTTGTGGTCACATGTTGGATCCGATTTTTACAGGGTGAGCCTGGACAGAAAGGAGACATTGGACTGAAAGGTCAAGGGGCCAAAGGTCAAAAAGGCGAACAAGGGACAAACGGATTAGGTGAGTATATTTAGCGCTTAGATCTGTTCAAGGACGTTATAGTTAAAGAATACGTACCACCGTGCTATAGATTATCGATAGATCTGGTATACTTCACTGTCAATATGATTTTCATTTGATTCTGGCAATAGAATGGTAGAAAACTTCATTATCACTTACCTAACTGTTATGCTTAACAGGAGGCGCTGTTTATGTCCGCTGGGGAAGGAAGACTTGTCCCTCTGGAGCAACAACTGTCTACTCTGGTAAGGTCTTCTTAGTCATATTTCGACATAGAATATACCAGGGAGCTCGAGACTACATGCTGTATTCCAGGGTATTAAACTGCATTTTAATTATCTTCGCCAAGAAGGTTATGCTTTCAGAGGCGTTCTTGTGTGTGTGTGTGTGTGTGTGTGTGTGTGTGTGTGTGTATGTGCGTGTGTGTGTGTGTGTGTGTGTGTGTGTGTGAACACGATAACTTAAGAAGGCTTTAATGGACTCGGACTTGATATTTGGTAGGTGGGTAGGTCTTGGTGAGACCTGAAAATGATTAGATTTTGGACCCCCTAGCGGTTTCTTATGCTACTGCAGCGGAACTTCCGGTTTTGATATTTAACTTCCACGATATTTGGATGATAGGGAGCTCTTGTGGTGGGGAAGAAGTGACGCGAGTTTGGGCCCCCTAGCCTACCGAAACGAGAGGCATTGGCAATTTCTAGTGAGGCAATAATAGGTGCAATAAAATATCGATTGTGCAGCATTTTTTTTATTTTTAAGATGTTCCATATATCCTTACGTGTATTCGTTAATTCTAAACTATTCTAATACATTGTACAATTCCGTAATGATATTTTTTTTCTTCCCTTAATGCTCTGATGATATTTGCAAACGGCTGCACATGCCAACTTAATTTAGGCTATTACTAGTACTACAAGAATTAGTCTACAAATAATAGTATGATAAATAGGTTCGAGTACAATGTTACATACCAGACATGTCAACTCCTTATTCATTAGATTGTTACCTATAAAACTATATTTAGGATTGAATGTTTCCATTACTTATCGACCGATGATACTAAGTGATGTTTTTCACTTAATCTGTGTATCTACACCAAGGTGTTGCAGGAGGTACATGGTACAACCACCCCGGCGGCGGGACCAACTACCAGTGTCTGCCGACCGACCCACAGTGGGGACGGTACCAAAATGGAGTCCAGGGGTACAAGGCTTTCATGTGGGGCGCTGAGTACGAGTTGAACACAAACATTCCGTTCGGCTCCACCTCCCTTCACGATAACGACGTCCCGTGTGCGGTCTGCTACGTCCCAACCCGCGGCAGTAAGTTAATGATCCCCGCCCGTAACACCTGTTATAGCGGCTGGACCCGCGAGTACCATGGCTACCTCATGGCTGGTCACTACAGCCACGCCGGGTCTAAAGAGTACGTCTGTGTGGATGAACAGCCTGAGGCCGTACAGGGCGGACATGCAGACCACAACGGAGCTCTGTTCTACCCCGTGGAAGCCCGCTGTGGGTCCCTGGCGTGTCCCCGCTACGTGGAAGGGAGGGAACTCACCTGTGTCGTCTGCACCAAGTAAACTCTGTATTCATCACTTGACGTCCATGATGGACGTCAAGGCCATGCATATCTATTGTTCCACAAACTATTCTCGGACACTTTAGATAGTATCCTGCCAATGTGTGATTTTCATGGTCTGTAACTCTGGTAGATGACTTTTTCCTAACTCTTATGTATTAAAGTAACGAACTCATTACTACCCTATGTACAAGCAGATCCTACGGTGGCAAAGCAGTATCCATTCGGCCAAGCAGTGATTAGTGACAAAATGCCTATGTAGTTTATTTTATTATTCATTTAGTTATGCCTATGTAGTTATAGTCCCAATGGAAGTCTCAAATTAAAAATAGATTGAAAAGGGCGATGAAGTTCGTGTGGGCAATTAAGTGTACGTCACCGGATTCATAATCCGGAGGCATGATGATGATGATGAAGTTCGTTTGTTTTGCTGTAGGTCAGCCTCTTCACATTGTACATGCTCAACAGCGTCACCTGGCGCCATATTCTTTTACTCCATGGATAGTAAATGTAGCGGTTAGCAGTGCCATCTTGCGGCAATCACTGAAACTGCAGGTCACTACTTATGTCGACTTCTAGCCGTTGCTAGTACAAATGTAATACTTAAACGACTGGTATAGAAGGGTCAATATGGATTATCCACTACTCTTAACTAAAATTTAACAGTATTTTCTCAAACAAAACCCCCACAGGATTTCATCTTATCTGAAAGTTGGTACTAGTAAGTTGTCATCAGGTATATTACTCAAAATCAGGGCTAGGGCAACTATGGGCAGTCATATCCTGTATCTCATAATGCCAAATATATACTAAAATAAAACGTGTGGCTTATCCAAATGATGGTGGTTTTCAAATATTGTTGGATTCCTTTTTGAAGCATATGTTCTTCGATAATGTGGACAAGTATGTTCTGTAGAATTCATAAACGTTGGTTTCTTACTTCAGAGAGAGTTCAGTGTTTAGCCTTCCTCATTTACTAACAGCTGTTCAAACCGGCATTGCTAAACCTATTTCTACTTTAGCAGAAGACTCGACACTGGAGTGATGTGCAGATCTTTACATAAACATTTATTTCATGGTTGAGACATCAAGTACAAAGTGCGCATGACTATACAGTGCCCGATAACGGTCATCAAGGCAGCGTCTATGTCCAGCTTCGACTTGTTTAGTGCACTTTGCAATACATCTGAGATCCACGCAAAAATTCTCCATGGCTCTGACGATTTTTCCTTGGAAAATCCATTTGAACAGAGGCTACTTTCGCCATGGGCTTAACTTATGTGGAAGTATAATGTCATGATGCTTTCTGGCACAGGTTTCAAAAACCTGCTCTTCTCAATTCTCCTGCTTTCTACTGCGTGATAGACTTAAATATTCCACATTTCATCTCAATATTTTCTGTGCACTGACACAAAGACTGCGACTACAAGCGGTGACAACTAGAAACGAGTCTGTCCCGTACATACAGTATAAATATGTGGAACAGGGTGGGAGTTTGTCTATAAAACTAAACTGTTAAATCACTGTTCATTTTTACAGCACGCATCTCTTGAGTGAGGCATATCAAAGGTGCCTGGATGGATATCGAACACTAGAAACGGTGTGGAAAGAATATTGCGGGGTACAAAATTGTTAAAATGCTGCACAAGATGTTCTGTTGTACCCAGTGCAACATCCATGGGTGGACACCTATTGCACTGAATGATGATGGCTTGACAATGGACTAGATCTCCCTCTCACCCCATGATTGCATACAACAGACATCTTTTCGTTGCACACAGAAAAGTGACAGGTTTTGGAAGAATGTCAACTAATCTTCTTAAGTACAAGACTTAGGCTTGTGTACAAAAGGTTTCAAAGGCCCAATCTACATGTCTCAACTTGATCTACAGAGCAGCCTGTTACAGTCCCACTATACACAACTGCATATTTCTCTCCCCTCGGTCCTGTGCTATGATTCTTTGGATAAGTAGAAGAGAGTCTCGGAAAGGTGTCCTAAGATTTGTTGGTCGAAGACGTGCGACATCGACAGAGTAAGCACTCTGCTCTCATGCTGTACAAACAAGGCTCTGTTCTCTGGAACTTTGGTTAAGCAGACTAGCGTCACGGCCGCTCGCCGCATCATGTCTGGACTGGTCCCAATCTCCTGGTTGTGGGACATCTGCATCATGCGAGGGTTCTGCGCGATGGCGCTCGCCGTGGCTTCCGCGTCCTCGAGGAACCCGATCAAGGCGGACACGCTGCCGGCCTGACAGGCGATGGCGCGACACGTGATGGTGTCTCCCTGCGCGAGATTCGACAACAACACGACAGAAAACTCGCGCATCACCGCTTGCTTTTTGTCACCTAACCACCGTACAAGATGGCCGTTCAGCTTCTCCAGGCGGCTGAAGGGTGGAGTAGCCTGGATCAAGTCCACATTGTTATCCAGAATACTCAGTTTTGCCAAGGCTTCCAGGGCAAGCCTCTGCGGTGACAACTGTGACTTTTCCGACACCGTGGCGAACGGATCCACGGCGCAGGCGGCGGGACACACCGTCCAGTGCAGAAGTCCGTCCAATATCGGAAGGCTGATGCTCTCGGGGTATATGGACAGATCCATGTTGCCTGCGATGTTTGCAAGGATGACTAAAACGTTCTCCCGCAACAGTTCCAAACAGTCCCACCACCACTCTTCCCGCTTGTACGGCACCGCGTCGATCTCGGACTCGTCTTTTCTCGTAGGTGCGCACCGTCTGACTCCTCTCTGGGTGATTGTGGTGCAAGAGCAAGAGCTTGCCCAAGGCAAGCAGCAGTCCCGGGTGTTTGGACATTTCTAGATCATTGCCTGGAATGAAGGACAGACTACGGAATATGTTGGATATACATATACACCTCCTGGCCAACTGGTCCTGCTGACTGGTCAGCAAGTTCAAGGGGAACTCGTCTCTGCTGCGGGGCTCGTCCTCCAGAACCTTGACTTTTTTCCTCTTCTTGGCGAGGATATTCGCCTCCTCGGAATTACCCCCGTCCTCCGAAGCCTTGGCATTGATGGTGATGCCCTCCGATTTCACTGTTAGCATGTCATCCAACATGGCCGTCACCCTTGGCTGTGTACTTGCCACTTTCTCTTGTTTGATTTTGTTGTCATTTTCGTCCTCGTTTTCTTTGGCTTCCCCGCACGCGTCGCGTGAGTCATTGTCTTCCAGTGAATCACTGTGGCGCCATCTTCTCAAGATGCTCTCCTTGCTATCGAAGAAAGCAATGATGTGTGACGTATCGTCCCCTCCCCCTATCTCCCAGTGGAGCTTCCCACTTTCGAACTCCTGCTTCAGATCCCAGTCCCTTGCCCTGGGGTTGGTGAGAACCTCTTCCACCTTCTTCACCACCTTGATGGGTTTTCTATCGAACGGACTAACTACAGGGGTTGAGGTGGCCCTTTTCAAGTTGTTGGGTCCCATTTCAAGCTCCTCGCCACCTTTCTCGTCCTCTTCTTTCTCCTTCTTCTCGAGTGCTTTCAACTTCTCCCTCTTCTTCTTCTCTTCCGGAGGTAGTGGGCAGATCTGCTTGTCGTCGCCGACCTCGTATTCCTGCAGGATTCCGAAGATGCTGATCAGACACCTCCTGAAGTGCTCCATCAGAGTTTCTATCATGCCCGGGAGGTGCTGCAGGTTGAAGTAGGTGACGGTGTTGTCGTCGAACAGGAGGATGTTCAGGGTGTCCAGCGCCCAGGTGGCCTCGGCCAGCAGTCCCGACTTCAGCGCCATCATAATGCGCCACGCCTCCACAGGACCTAAGAGAAGACAACACAGGTTTAACTTTTATAGTTAATCTGCATACCATTTGTATATCTCAAACTGACAAATATTGCAGTATCACATGCATTTAATTATAGGCAGTAACTATACAAGAGATATAATGTTAGATTTCATGTTATACACAAAGTCTTAAAAAATTCAGTGTGTGTACTTGTAAAAGCAAAGTTATAAGTACATATTACAGAGACCTTTGGGAGCATTGACAATATTTTATGCCACTGTGAAGTTAGTAATACATGTATTGAGTAAAATACATGTGTATCTGTAAGTGTATGTAACTTTTATGCCAACTATTGTTAAAATGGCACAATTCAGACATTCAGGCTGTTGCTTGTGACTGCCAAATAAACATTATTATGATATGACAAACTAACCCAAATCTCTTGAAGTCAGCCTCTTTCTCTTGATGAGGATGGGATGAGTGGCCTCTACTGAGTCAGGCGGGAACTGCATCTCTCTCCTCTGCTGCATGGGCCCCATCCCGGGGACGGGCGGCATCTTGGACGATGACAGGCGCTGTGAGAGGAAAGCCTTGTCTCGATGGGGGGACATGCGGGACTGCAGTTGCCTGGCGAGTAGAGAGGGGCTGCCCGGGCCTGTGGTGTGGGGAGGGAGGGGAGGGTGGTGGGACGCTGAGAAGGACGAGGGCATGTGGTGACTCATGGCTGACGACGACTGGGGAAACGGGTGGGTTCCGGGCTGGTGTCGGCTCATCGGGGGCCAGTGGGGCTGCGACGGATCACGCACTTGTCGCTGGTCGAAAAAATCCTCCCTCTGGTTCATGCCATGGTGGGGGCCCGGCGGTGCCTGGCCACCGGGGTAGGGGAAGCCGCTCTCACTTCTGTTGGGCCACGGGCCGTGAGAGGGTCTGTCCCCCATGCTGTGGGAGTTTGGGCCCATCATGTGCTGTGGCGTGTGCGGAGCCATCGGGCCACTCATTGGTCCTTCTCTGAACTGTTGTGGGTACCCGTGCTGGCCGGGCATTGGTCTGTCGGGTGTACCAAAGCCCGGCTGGCTAAAATGCGGCTGCCTTTGTCCACTGTAGCCCATCCCGTAAGGGTCTTCCTTGTTCATGAACTCTGGACGTTTGGGGGGCGGACGTACATGTCGTTTGCGGGCCTCTTCTGAGGGTAGCCCTGGTGGTACATCCCCTGCTGCTGCGGGTAGGGGGTCTGGCCCTGGGGAGGTCCTTGGTAAGGGGGTGTGTAGCCGTCATGAGGGGGTTGTCTCTGCATGGGCTGCTGGGAGGGCTGCTGGCTGTAGCGAGGGGGGTACAGGCCCTGCTCCTGGGAGGTCTGGCCGTGGGGTGGAATCATGTTATGGGAAGGAGGGGGTTGTTGATCGGGCATGTTGGGCGTCTGGTTCTGCTGCTCAAATCTGTGTTTAAAACAAAAGGAAATAAGAATCCATTGGTGAGAGGTTACAAAAACGTGCGGTCTTAATCACAAACGGAAGAAATTTGATTTTCGTGCCTTGTAAGTAAATTTCTGAACACAATCACAGACATTCACAGTGGAATGAAGAAATGCAAAATGACTTTGAAGTATATTAAAGGATTTTTATTACTGTATAACATTACTTGGTAACAAAGAATTGGCTCATGTTAGTACAAAATTTACACTGAATTTAGGCATATTCAGAAATGTGGCCTACAGGATGTAGCAAGGCCAGATCTAGATTTTATTTTTAGATGGTGGCACTCTGTAATAAACATAAACATAACCATGAGTTTTACCTTTCTCTGTCGAACTGTGGCCCATATCCTGGGTACTGGGGCATGTTCTGTCCCATCCTCTGCTGCCCGTAGGAGTCGTTCACCATCCCCCCCACGCCGTGCCGCGAATGGATCGTTCCCCCTGCACGGGCGGCCTCCTGTTCATGGCGTACGGGTCGTTCTGGTAGGGAGCGTTTCGGTACTGTTCGGGCATGTTCATGCCTCCGCGGTTCATGGGGTCATTCTGGTTCATGTAGGGAGGCATGTTGGGGTTCATGCTGTTCTGCTGTGGCATGGCGGGCTTCTGGTAGTCGTCAGCAAACGGGTCTCTCACGCTGATGCTGTTTTGGCTGCCAGGAGGCATCATACCGGCGTTTCCCATACTCCCAGGAGGCATCATGTTGGGCCCACTGGTGGGTGGTACCATTTGTTGATCAGGGGGGAGCATATTGCCATCATGGTGTCCCTCCATCATGGAGTTCATCATGGGGTGCTGCTGGGAGGGTGGTCTGTCCATCATTGGCATCCCAGCCATACCTACAACACAAATGGAACGCTCCAGTCAGAAATGACCACAGTCCAGGTCCCATAAGCAATTTGAAATTTTGAGTACATTGCTGATAGTTAGACATACAGGTACACAATACTTCAAACTCTATTACTATGGTATAATACATACAAATAATAAATTACAGGGATAACTTCTGGACGTTTTGAGTGACATCCACCACTCTGCTTCAGAGTCACTTTAGCAGAACTAGTCAACACTTTTACATTTGAGCAACTGGAAAAACCTGTTGAGCATGACCAAGACATGTATAGTCATAGGTATGTAAATGAGATACCAGGAAAGGTAGTTCCTATGGTTAGACAACACTGTAGGAACTGCTACAGTCCCCTAGGTGTTGGCAGGGCAGGGTCCCAAGTTTGTGAAATTTTGAGCGTTTCACTAGAGAGGGCAGTTAGAACTTAGGAATGTGAACTGCTTTTACCAACATTGGTTTATTGTTCTTTAGTTCTGTGTAACAAAAACTTGTTCAAGTTCAAGCCCTGACAGAATATCTTAATGTAGAACCACATCGCCACCACAGACAAATGTGCCTTCCACTAGTTGCAGTTAAGTGTAGTATTACAACAACAAACACTTCCATTGAAGTAGTATCAATGGTAACCCCACAGGCTAGATACAAACTAGTCTTCAGCAGTAGTCGTCAGTCATATCTTATATAAGATACACCCACTGTGCCCGGGGATAAAGCTATCTGAGCCACAGCGCGATCCTGAAATAGCTGCTGACAATGATACACATTTGCGTTCCACTCCATCACCTGGTTACATAAATGCCTCCAGGCAAAACCCGTCTCATCTGCCTGCCAACATTACCCTAAGTGGGGGAATCCCAAAAAATCCTCATTCACAAGTCCACAGCCACATGCTATTCATTCTCAGGGCCCTCCTGTCTACAAGTGGTTCTTACTTAACAGCCAGTGGTGATGAGGGCTCATTGCCGGGCACTGGAGCAGACGCGTGCCGTGATTGTATTACATAACGTCAATACAACGCCTAAGCCCCCTGATGACTGTTACGTTGGGCCGGTGCGCTGACTGCTCCCTAACCACATTTTCATGGATCACTTGGCAGCAATACAAATTAGCCAGCCATTCTTTGCAAGCGCAGGGGTCAGAGGGGGCACAGCGGGGAAGCCTCTTAATTTGCGAATCTATTGTTACAGTCTGTTGTGAAGGCATTATAGCCGGCTGTGGCGGAGATAATAGCCCCAGGTTGTACACGTGCCAACCACCTTACTCTGACAGCCTTCCAGCTAAGTACATCAGTCACAAGGATGGAAGACCTTCTGGAGAGAGAGTTGTGCCACAAAGCTGATTGATTTTCTACCCTGTCACCGAGGCAGACAGATGTTCTTGTTCAGGGGAGACAGATTAGCTTTGGATGGGTCAATTATGAGAAAGAGGTGTGGGTTGGGCTGCCAGACATGTGTGCTTGTCACTGCCTTACAGGTGTGATGTATGTCGTCTTATGCCATGAACTGCTTCGGGCCATTTCAGCATGGCGTAGTCAGTCTCTGTCAAAAAGTGAGTGATGGTGCAGCTTCTATAGAACTTTATGACAGAGAGCTTGCCAATATTAGATTAAGCCTTCTCAAAAATATGAAGTGGCAGATGAAAATGTGTTTTTTGGACAATGTCTATAGTCAGAAACTGGAAAAATCATGGCAATGTGCAAATTGCATGTAAAGTTATAAGTTTTATATACACATGTATAATATCTGCACAATATGGGATGTAGGGACAATGCTGTAGACATCAGCAAAGTCAGGGACAACAGAATAAAGTCAGATTGAACTCAACAAATGATAGCAACACCTTTACAACTACAAGACAACACCCAACCAAAGACTTGTTACAGTGGGATTGTGTAGCAAAATGGTTGGGCATTTGGCCCAATGTAGATAAGACGGCCATCCAACTTTTTATATTGTGTACTGTTCTTGACACTTCTTTTGCAAATGCTCTTGTTTTCAAGTTAGTAAATATTAACATATTGCACAAAAGGGAATAACCCGAGGAAAAAAAAGCTCACCTGGAGAAGCAGCTAGTCTTCGAGCCTCTGCAGCCATGGACGAAGACTTCTTGCTGTTGTCCGTTGCCGCCACCAGCACCTGTGGGTTAACGTCCCCTCGGTCGTGCTTACACTCAAAAGGCAGCAGGTACTTGATGTAGTTTTTCCGGAGGGAGGAGGCGGCACTGGTGGAACTGCCAATGTTGATGGCCTGGCACACGTCCCTCCATTGCTTATTCTTTGAAGCCTGCAGGTTTGATGTGGGAAAACAATTGAGTGATTCGAAACACATTATCAAATAGAACAGATATGCATCCTCACTAACGCAAGAAAGAAATGGACAAATTTTCCCATGTGATAAGCATAAATGAAAATGCATTTTCTTGCACGTTGACTTTATTTTGTAGTACTACCCTAGGATGGGCTTTTCGTAGTGTTGTGGTTGAAACAATATTGTCCTGTAGTAAAATTACAGCACATATATTTGCAGTGTTATAATTTCACAGTAAGAGCTCAACACCAAAATTAAAACCACTGCCAACATTTCAAGATACTGCCAACATTTTAAGATTCTGTATATCACTTGGTCTGTGAAAAAAAAAAAGAAACTGTATGTTCACGGTGGTGGCAGCAGCAAAAAGTAAGTTGGCAAATTATTTGTTCACCGTAATGATTAGTTCACAGTACAGAGGCATGGCTCTCCCCAAGCAATGGAGTAAGGGTGCTCCCCCTCTCCCCAAAATCCTAGAACCCCTCCCAAAATGTTCAAAGTTAGGGGTTTCTCTTAGTATTTACATGAAAATTCACTAATTTTTCATCAACCGATTATGGGGAATTTATGGGGAGACCCCTGATTCTGAAGTGACCGCAAAAATTGCAAATATAAAAGTACAAAAAATTATGATTTACAGTATACAGAAGCGTCTGCTTACCTCCACAAAGCCCCCTTTCTCTTTGATGAGGAAGTACAGGCGGTACAGGTCCACCAGCTTGTTGCTGATGGACGGGGCCTTGTTGCTGGGGAAACCACGCTCTTCCCAGAATGCCACCAGGGTGTCCAGGAACACTTTCCGCTCCATGTCCTCCCCGAAACTGTCGTACATCTTCAACATCTGCTCCGGCGGCATCGGAGACTGCGATTGGTTGTTGCGCTGAGGAAAGGCAAAGGTACATTTATCAAGTGTGCTGAAGAATGCTGGTATGAAACAATGCCTTAGTTGAAAGTTGCCTGTCACAGTTCAACAGATAAAATAACAGATGATGAAGAATTACAGTTTGTAAATTTTTAGTTTTTATTAGGTAAGTACATTTCCCACTGGGTACTTTTTAAAATTCTACATGCTTTTGTTATACTTTCTTTTCATTTCACACTACCTAGGCATACAAATTACAATTTACTTCCCAGATAACTCCATGTTAATGTGAACAGTTTAGCTCCTTCTTTTTTTTGTACTGATGAAAGAATTTGTAGTTATTATATGTATGTACCTTATAAAAGCTGGTCAGATGCCAAATGTTGGCAGTAAACTTTGACTACTACAGATCGTATTATACACATCAAAGATCAAAAGGTATTGAGTGCTCCCTCTGTATGGCGATCAAACAGACATTTAATAATGGATTAGGTTGTCCCCATGAGAGTTGGAGGTCCATACAGTACAGATCTCGATTAATTTCCCTTCCCACGCATTTTACATTCACTTTATTTTTTGTTCAAAAGTCATGTTAATTGCATTAAAATCGAGCTTGAAAACTTGTGTAACAGCAATGTAACACGTGATTGAACCTTATGCAAAAGCTGTGTAAACCGCATGTACTAATCAGTGTGTGTCTGCTGATATATTGCCACTCTTTTTCTCTATCTACTTCCTCTAATTACACTTTCCTTGAAATGATCATCTAAATGTCATTTGTCAATATCCTGTAAGGTTTTTTTTTGGCCAGACTATAGTCATCATATCTACAAATGTAGCTAAACACTGTTATGTGCCTGTGTGCTTCATTTGTATTATTATTTTTTTCCTTCATACAATTTAAAAATGTACTTTTCAGAAACTTTTGGTTGTAATTTGTTTTTATATTATTCTCATCAACCATTGCAAGATGCTTTAACATTATTTTTTGGTACCTGTCTCGAAACTCTGGTAATCCATGATTTAAACAGCGTGTTCTATCTTTAGCTCCAGCCGGTGCAATGCAAATGAGGCAGGGATTAGGTGTGTGCTCGGCTGGCTGGGCGGAAGATTAGTTTCTCCAGTGATACCATCGAACACCTTAACAGTACCCTGAGGAGGGCCTATCTATTGTACACTAATGACAGTCGTTAGCTTGTCTCTTCCTTAATTAAGTCTCCCCAGTCAAGGCATTATTCATGTAAGATACGGTAGTGAGAAACGCAAAGCAAGTTGTCCTATACGGTAATTGCATTTATCTGTGACTGGTAGAGAACAGAATTGTGCTCTCTCTGAATACATGTTGCTTTGGGGACTGGATGAGACCAATGTTAGAAACTGACACTAATTTTGGGCCAATTATACCTATAGATGTAGAGGCTCAATAACAAATAATAGTTATTATTTTTTTGAGCTTCGGCAGTCCTAACACAATTGGTAGTTTTACCATGGGCAACGTGATATTTTACAACTGAGTGCTTGTATATTACTTAGTAGGTTAGAGTTATATATAGTAAATTGTTTAAACCAATTCTATCAAATTGTTTAATCCCGGAGCAACAAACTGAAGCAAAACTGTTGTGCCTCTTGTTAACAATTCTTTAGACTGTCCAACATCTAGACTCTAGAATTTAAAATAGGATTTCCCAAAATTCACTCAAATCTAAGGCCCGATTCACACGATGAAAAATAAAAGTGTCGGGCGTCGTTCGACGCGCGCGCACGCCAATTCGCCTACGACACTTTCCCGTTTACACACAGGGACCGCAGCTCCCGCTTCGCGCCGAAGCCGTGGCAGGCTGTGGCGGTCTGCGTCGCGCTGTGTCATATGTGGTGAACTCTGACCTGCCGCTACGACTGTTCGAATCCCTGATTCTCCGATACGAGTACTTGAGGTCTCTTATCTTCTTCTGGACTTGTTTGGAGGTCCTATTGTATCCCTCCTGCTTCATGCCCTCGGCAATGTCTCCGAAGGCCTCCTTCTTTCTGAAAGTTTCCATTTTGCTCTGAATTCTGTCACAGTTCCACAGCCCAATCAAACAGCGCGTTTCAGCGCTGGTCCAGTTAGATCTGTTGACGAACGACGCCCGACACATAAAAACGACGCACGTGTGAATCGGGCCTAATTCAAGCTGTGCACTGTTTTTCTGACAATACTTTGTGGTATCACTTCAGCCTGCCAAGGGCAGTCTTAACATTTTACAACTTCCTACCATAAAAAAACAATTGTAATCCAGCCCCAAACCACAAGTTGCTTCAAACAGTAACCAATATCCCAATAAAAAAAATAAAAGCCTTTTAAAATCATAACGCAACAACTACCAGATATCTACATGTGAAAGACCACGTTAAAATGCACATCAGTGGGAAACTGGCCCCTGTGCTATCAGAAGAATGCATGATGCATGATAGCAAATGGTGAAGCGTGTGAGACCCTGAGGGCAATGCCCCTCTCACATATAACATGATAATAACCCCGACATGACATCCCAGGGGCAGTGCCGGTACACGGGGGTCATGACACTTATCAACATTGTTATTAGTGCCCCATCAGTCAATTCTGGATGTCTGCTTGGCACTGGAGGAGTTTGATAGCTACTACAGTATTGGCTTTGAGTGTCAGAATTACCTCAAGCTTCTGGGATATCTTTGCTAGTTTGTATTATCCAACCCTGCCCTTCTCATGTGAAGTAAGATGTAAGCTCTAAAGTAACTGGCAATACTGTGTCTAAAAACTTCAATGTCAAACTTTTCTCCAAATTCTTTCCTAGACATTTGAGGTTGCAAGAAAGAAATGTGTCACTAAAATTTTCAGTAATATCTACATAAAAAATCTCAGTAACGTCTACATCATCCTACACAAACGAAACATATAGCATATTTTACAAAGAACACGCTGGGAAAATCTTCCTGTTTTGCTGTATTGTAATCTTCTAGAAAAATTTGAGACTGAGACCCGATTTACACGTGGGCACAAACCATAAGTATGCAAACTGTGTACACATGCAAATGTATGTCAAATTTTTCCTGTGCGTAAATCAGCCCTTGTTCTATACGCATGTATGTTCAGATCATGCGCCAGGCCTCGAGGTAATGTATGATCTGAACTACATCAAAGAAGGCCAATTTTAGCCTGAGTACCATCCTGGTTAGTTTCGTCAGTAGTGACTGTGGGAGTGGACGTAAACTAACCAGGATGGTACCCAGGCTAGGCCAATTTATACACAACAAAAATTCAATGTACACAGTTTTTGGACGTTCGCATGTGTACGCTTTTGCACTACAGGTTTTTGCCTGCATGTGAAAATAGGGTCTTTATCCTGCTCCAGTTCCAATGACCAGTCCTGACATCTTGATTCATTGTCAGATCTAAAGATAAACTAATGAGCTCATAAATATGTATCTGAAGGACATCTGTCTTTGCCTGACATCCCGTCAACAGTACAAAGGGAATTGATTAAACAAGACACTGGTATTTTGGCCATGGAACGGCCTGGACTTTTGAGTATTGGACTATTTTGGGTTTTGACACATTGGACTTTGTTTTTATGTATACTGTATGTTGCCCTCTTTTGTTTGAATGAATGTAACAATGCTGTATGAGCCTACAGCTTTTTCAATCCCTATTTTTATCATATTTTAAAATTCCCTAACTTCTGTTACAATACAATTTCTGTATTTCATGATAATAATATCTGGGTACGATTTGACTGCTTGTTGTTTCTCGCTTGTACTGTACTCCTCTGTTTCCTTTCCTTTTCTTTTTATTTATTTATGAAGGTTTACCACATTTTGTGGAAGGATTGACATGACAGGTGACTATCACCTCTTGAAGATGTCAAACCTGTGACCAGACTGTAAGGTTCGAAGCACTCACACCAGGAAGGTCCCCAATTCTTTTCCACAAACTTATCAATCAATCAATTAAAAAAGCACAACCAGCCAGATTGTGCTGCAACTTTTCTTACCGGGCTTGAGGGGGTCTTTGGCCAGCCTGGGCTGCTGAAGTTACTGTTGTTCTCCATGTCGTCAGGGAAGGAGGACATGCTGGCCCCGCCCGGCGACGCAGGGACAGGAGAGGCCACTGGGATATTGGTGGATGAAGGCGTGGGAGGCTGGGAGGAGTTATCCTGATGGACAAAGAAGATGTAAAACAATTCATTAGTACACAGACCGGATAGAATGTGATCTTGATCCAGTTTTAGCTCACTGAAGAGCTTAACTCCCACTGGTCGTGACAGAGAAGACAGAAGAACTGGGACTCTTTCCAGTAACTTGCATGTTGGGCGAGTAACAACAGATGAGTTTTGAACTCCCAGCCTCTTGGTCCACAGGTTGTAGCTCAGGCATTCTTTCAACATGGTTAAAATCAAAGCCTTGTACAGAATGCTTCACTAGCAAATGATACGTACTACACTTTTCTTTCCTTGCAATGAGTGCCCTTGACATGGAGAGCTAGAATCCTAATTACACAGAACACAAAGTCAGAAATATAACAAAGAGAAGCAAATCTTTAGTGTTGATGCAGGCTAAAAATTGTCATTCTAATCATATGTCTGAGATTTGCTAGAGCCGAGCCAAAAAGCTTGCTAGGACGGCTGAAAACACCTCAATCTAATCTGCGCATACAAACCAATTCTGAGTCTATGGTGAAGAAACCCAGAACAACACAGTTTCCATGCACACAATCATATAGACAAAACATGTAGGCAGCAGACAATCATTTTCTTGTTGAACTTTGACAACTTGCTACATGTGTTACAGCACACTACAGGCTGTCCTCCATCTTTCACGTAATAATAGCCAGGATGAAATAATATCACCGTGGCAAGTTACACCGAGTAGTAGTATGCGAGGCTTCTCTCACCCTTTTGACAGGAGGCGGCGGTGGGTGTGGCGGCTGCTGGTCCGGTGGAGCAGGAGCCTGCTGTTGTTGTTGTTGCGGCGGCTGTTGTTGTTGTTTTTCTCCTGGTTGTTGTTGTTTATCCTGTTGTTGTTGTTCCTCCTGTTGTTTTAATTGCCCCTCATCCTTTGGTGTCGGTTCGCTCGGCGTGGCTGGTTTGGCCGTCGTGTCGTTACTGGCGCTGGTTGTGACGACTGACGCGGATGTTACCGGAGTTGTGATGCTCTGTGTCACCGCTGTGGTCGCAGGACCTGAACACAAGATGTATAAAAATCAACATTTTGCTAAACACAATAGAGACTATAACAATCAAATGATCTGGGTGTTGGATTTGCCTTTAGGCCACACTCAATATCATCAATTGGTTCTCGGATTCAACAATTTTAGTATTTTCTGATTTTAGAAAATTAGGTCCTGAATAACTGTTCATGTAATCAAATTCATTGGGTGAAGGGACATACTGTTTCTCTACATCCCTACCACCACTTCCCACCCATTGAATTATCAACTGGTGAAAATGCCATTAGATTGGTTTGTGGCAAAGTGCCACACAATAATATCAGCCTTCATATTAAAACCTTCCATTTACATTTGACACAATTAAATCATTTTCTTTGTCATCAGAATTTAATACGTTAATTGGTCCCGAAGCTGCTAAAAGCAGATCACTGATTCTCTATTCCCTTATTTCAAGAAGTTTGGGAAGTAGCTAGGGATGACACAAGATGGAAGTCTTTGTCTGCACCTAAAGTCACAATTTCTTATCACCTTTTTCAAACCATACCACAAAGATTCCTTCATTCTCTAATACAAAGACAGAGCACTATGCTGCTGATACTTTAGGAAATAACACTTCATAAATGTCACATGTATTTCTATCACTGAATATTAAATGAAATGATTGCAGCCCCCAATTAAAACTAACAACTTTGTCCAATTTACGCTGCAAATTAACACCGTATTCATTATCACTGTCAGGAAAAGGTGTGAAAATGCTTGGGTGAATAAACAAGTCCTGCTGGGAAGAGTTAGTAGTAGTAGAAATCATCTCACTGGATGAAATTCTGTCCCAGGCTGGATCTAAATTGGCATTGTGTAACATTTCTGCACCAAAAATTGAAATATTTTATATGAAAAAAAACTTTCATGTGATTGTAATTTACTTCCACTTTTCATCATATTCGAACAATTATTACATTTCTGATATTTATGGCTGGTGTTAGAGGTACACAGCAAATATTCTGCTTTTTTCTCCCTTTTGTATACTAACAGGTATTGAACAGCTTGGCTAAGAGAAAATGAAGGAATCTTGTTGATATTAACTTCTATCGGAGCGGCATGCATCAGGCACAATGCAGGAGTGTGTGTGTGAACCACAGAGAGAGTACAAGTGGGCAGTGCATTGTGGGGGGGAAGAAATGAACCCAGGGGGGACTGTTCCCAGCATGCAACGTGCAGAGGGCGTGGCGAGAACGTGCAGAGCAGAGGCGGCAGCGGGCAGTACCGTATACAGGTACAGGAAATGGACGTTCGAGATACCTGCACTAGTGTTTGCCACGGTGCTAACCGGAGGCGGCCCCAGCGGCTGGCTGTAGGGTTGGCTCGCGGTCGCCATGCTCGAACTCGAACTGTAATTCGGATTTTGGTTGTAGCCGGGGCCCTGGGGCGGCATCATGCCCTGCCCATGCCCCATAGGGGGTGTATCGGACATGTTTGACATTGGCGGCACGTTGCTATACCCCCCATGCTGTTGTCCCTGGGTGTAGGGGTATTGAGGGGGGTACCCACTTCTGAGCTGCTGGGGTTGAGGCGGCGGCATGTAGC